TACATTGTGTAATTACAGTGATATTTCGCTGCTGTAAAAAAAAAAAATTTACAATTTATATTGAAGATATTATTTATTCAAATTTAACAGTGTTTTTTATGAGAAAAATCCTTTTCTTTCATATTATTATTTCACAAATATACTCAAGGAGTTGCGCGTAGCCAGTATTGAAATACTTTTATTTAATCCATATTTGAATTGCGTCTCCTCATTCCCAATAGTCATAAATAGATCTGTCTGGACTTAACTAGGAAAACAGTAGTTATCAAGATCATATAATCAACTCACGAACGATCTTTCATCTTTTTATATATCAGGGGCGAATACAAGGTGTGGGTGTGGGTGGGATGACCAGGTATACACCCACACTCCTGTACTCGTACTCGAGAAAGTCCATATTCAACCATCTCTGGATCTATCTGTCTTTATACTGCTCATGGATTAGAAAAAAAACGAACTTTTACATTATAATTTGAAATGCTGGATCCTTAAGCCTGCCCATTAAAGCATCAAACAAAGAAAATTCCGCAATGCACAATATTTTTAGTTTCTTTTTCGATGCAGCCAAGCTTGTTAAGAACGTTTCTGATATTCTGAAAGCTTCTGGAAAATTAAACGCCTTGTATGTAATTAGACCGTTTATTTGTATCTCGTTTGGTTGTACAGTAAAATGCTAAACTCTAACCCACCGTTAAAAACCTCTATTGTTCTGAAATCCGGTCATGGTTAGCATGCGTTTTTTGAATAACTCAGTTCTAGCTGGAGAAAGATCAATGAATTTTCTACCAGTAGTAGATCTAAATAGTCTCTGTCTATGATAAAAACGTTAGGGAGCTCTCGTTATCAGTAATGAGATGCAGGGTGTTGCAATGTAAACAAATGAAAGTTCGTGACGCTTGATCGTGCGAATATATGATTCATAGAATCTCATATCTTTTTTAATCATTTTATGAATATTGTCGTCAAGCGACATAAGGATCCAGATGTTTACTTTTATACCTATTGTATAAGCAGTTTTCTATGCTACTACATTGATGTATTATAGTATTGAAAAATGTAGTCAATAGATATAATTCAACTATTGATAGTTTGTAGAGAAAATTGAGTTGAACAACTTTTCTATCAGAAGTAAAGGTCAATTTTGAAATCAAGTAGACGGAAAAAAAATTTTGTGAAATGAAATGATTGACATGTGTTTTACATTGGAGCACTCTAATTTGGGCTATATTTTACATTACCGTTCTTATTGAGGACATTATACTTAATTAGAACGCGATCATTCGGCTTCATTCTAGCGCTTATAACTCCATTATTTCTCAATTTTTTTCATCAATAGATAGCCAAGACACTGATCTACTTGGTCATTAAATTTGAGCCTATTTACTCACTGCTTGGCTGAGATATTAGAGTGAAACGACGAAGGTGTGAAAAGTTCGTTCTAATTTGGCCCATGCTCTATAGTGGCTTGGGATTGACGCAAAACGTAGTTCACTATATTTAATATAGAGATATTAATAGATCCAATGGCACACTCACAAAACATTAATAACGTGCAATATCAGTGCAATGATATGCAGACGATCCTATTGACTAAACTGAAAGAATTACGTCACCAGTTTCCTGAAGATGGTTCACAATCAATTCATGTCCTAGCTGATGTTTTTGATAATGCCAACGGTCAATTCAAATTAAGTTTACAACAGGAAAGCAAAGATCATGCGGGCGAACGCATTATACTTATTCCATATAATTTGAAAAATTCACATTGGGTTGGAATTTTAATAGAATTTCAATCAGACGAACAGATTAAACGAGCCGAATATATTGATCCGGTGAATGGGATTGACGATGTTCCCGATGGATTACGAAAGCAATTCACTGAAGTTTATCCGTATGACATGTTACAAGTCAAAAGTTTGCAAAAGCAAAATGATTCAGTCAATAGTGCGGCATTAACTATTGACAATTTGTTAATAGCTGCAAACGTTAAACTTCCACAAACCATGAATTGTCCGAAAGAAGAAACATCTATTTTGTCACCAACTACATACATCCAAAAGGAAGGTAATGCATATGAACTTAGCGAACTCCAACAGAAATTAAATAGTGGTTTGAAAAAATATAATATTCAGAATGTAGATGACCTGGATAAAGAAATGCAAGACACGAACGAACGAATCCAGAAATTTCAGAAACAAGGTAGAAAAGAAAAAGCGCAGGAAGAAATGAATTTTTTACGTGAACTAAAAGGATTCAAAGAACTTTCAGATAAAATAGCCAGATGGATTTCTAATGCGTCTTTTTCTCTATGCAATCACAAACTAAAACTTCATGAATTAACAGAGAAGTTAAATAGCGGTTTGGCAAAGATTAATCTCCGGAATGTGAGCCAACTGCGAGAAGAAATACGGGATACAGAAGAACGAATCCAGACATATCAAAAACAAGGTAGAAAAGAAAACGCTCAGGACGAAATAAAATTTCTAAACGAATTACAAGTACTAGAAAGAATTTCAGAAGAAATATGCACTCTGATATTCGTTTCCTCTGTTGATTTGATACATGAACCAACTACCCAGCCGTCTCTGTCAGCATTGTCGCCAGTTACTGAAATCGGCACTTCAGATGAGCAAAATAAAAAACGTTTGTATCTTGAAGTTTTACGTGGCGATATGGCTGATATTCCATGCTGTGCTGAAAAAACCATTATGGAACTTCAAGTGCATTACGAAGAAAGATTATTAGAAGATTGTACATCTTCGCAAGAAGAAAATTTATGGACTTCATCGTTAGAGAAGCTACGAGATCAAATTAAAAGAGAAGAATTACTTACGGACAACACGAAAGCTATTTTTAACGATTTAGAGAAGCATAAAGATAGTAACAATTACCAGTCCATAGTAGATTATTTGAAAAAGCTCTTACAGGCAATCAGACCATTGAATGTGCTAGAGATACAGAGACTTGTAAGAGAAGCGGAAAAGACAGCTGAATCAATTCGCGGCAAGGAAATTATTCTACTAATCGGTGAGACTGGAACAGGAAAATCTACTACCATCCAATTTCTAACAGGTTCAAAAATGAAAAAGACTAGAATAGAAATTGCCTCTGGCAGGTTTCTAGAGCATATTACACTAGATGGAACCCCCAAAAATCCCCAACTGAATCGCATCAGTAGTAGTGCATTGAATAAATCAGAAACACGTTATATTACGCCTGTTACAGTGCCATTGAAAGATATTCCTGGTGCATATGAGAATGACGCTATCACTCTGTGTGATGCACCAGGTTTTAGTGATACGGCAGGTCCAGAAGTAGATATTGCAAATTCTCTAGGAGTTATTGAAGCTCTCAAAGGAACTGAGAGTGTCAAATTACTTGCTTTGTCAAGTTATAAAAGCTTAGGTGACAGAGGACAAGGTATTCAGAAATTGGCAGAGATATTAATCCATATGGTGCGTGGAATAGACAATAAACTTACAGCTATAGTTTATGCATTTACAAAATATCCTCCAGAAACGGACATTAATGCTTTGTTAATAGATATAAAACGATCAAAAGTAGATACAAATTCTTCTTTACGATCAAATAGTGCTTTTATGGCGGTACTAATAGACATGATCGAAAAAACTGAACATGGCGCTTTTAAAATTAATCCCATTAAAGGTAATCCGAAAGAATTAATCCGACAGTTAAGACGTATAAAAGGTATTCAGGATTCAAAAGACGTTTTTCACTTTTCTATGACTGAAGAAACTCGAGCAACTATTGACAAACATGTACGAAGAGATAGATCTGGTATTAGTTATGCAATGAAAAACAAAGACAATAAGCTTTTGTTGTATTATTTGAATGATTTGAAGATATTGAAGGATTTGATTAAAAAATATGACATTCCAGAAGCTTATGAACAATCGATAAGTTCTATCAGCGAAAGTATTAGTCGATATTGTGCAGAAGAAAAAGAAAAATTTAATCGTGTCATGATCAGTCGTGATGGACTAAAAGAAGGTGACATTCGAGATTATCAAGCTTGTGTTGAATATCTTCAACAAATTCAACTTACAAAAGAACATTTAGGACCATCTTTAGCATTACCTGAAATATTGATGCAAAACATCACTTTTCACCTCGAAGAAAGAAGGCGTACTTTGCAAGAAGAAGATTTAGACAGTCCTTTAATTGAAATATATTTAGATAATTTTCGTATGCTTAAAACGTCTTTTAACGAACTCGAAACTGATTATAGTAGCTGTTGTAACGAGTTCGAGAAACGTTTTGACAATCTCGTGCAAACTGCACGTGAACCTATTCTAAAAAATGATTTCAAACATGTTGCAGAAATTTTTATTAAAATATCTAAATCTTCTCATATTCTAAAAAATCATTTGTATGAACAAATCAACAAGAAGTATAATGACATTGTCCAATTGCTCTTACAACATCTCAATATGTTTTCGAACGAAGTTGATCCGATTTTAGCTAAGGATAGATTAAATAATGATGACGTCAATATTCTTAACAGTTACATAGAAACATTAAGATCAGCCAAAGAAAACCATGTGCTTCAACAATATATTTCTACATATATAGAAATGTTAAAAAATGTAGTTGAAGTCAGAGAGGAATACAGCATAGATCATACTTCTCAAGTATATACTAAAGATTTGAATGAAATTTACGATGAATTCATCACGAAGATTATCAAGCGTTTTGATGAAATAATACTTCGAATGACGAAACTTTTTGAAGGAAATGATAATCATGCTTTAGAAAGCATAGAGAAATTAGTCGAAGATATGAATGTTATTCGTACTATTCCAGAAGTTGAATCAAAGACTGCTAGAACATATTATAGTACCGTTGAAAACATACGCAGTTATATGGATCAACTACGAAGAGATGCAGCAGAGCAATTACTTGATACTATTCATCAGCAATCGGAAAGCATAAATTATAAACAGCTCATAAGATCCTTAGCACATTTGAAGAATGCACAATGGATCAATAGTGTTAGTCCAGGAACATATGATACATCAATGAATCAGCTTACAGAACAAGTAATAGAATATGCTGAACAATTGCAGGGTCATATAAAAAAACTTGATTTAAGTTTGAAATGTCCTGATAATGTTTGTATAGCACATCAAATGATGGAAAAAATTGAATCTATGAAAACCTTGGAACACGATTTTCCACAACTAGAAAATTATAGGGAAACTATATTCCGACATTTCTTACAATGTATACAAGTTGTTTTTGATAGTATTGAAAAGGATTTTAATTTTTCAGATCAAATAGCTAGCGAAGAAGATGAGAAATTGAAACAAATTGAAGAATCAAAAAGCTTATCGGAATCGAGTTATCCGATCGCACAACCAAAAACTACGCGAGAAACAGAACTAGAACGAATAAGAGCTGAGAAACATGAGCTGAATACTCAACTAATGCGTCTAAAGTCACATGTTGAAGCATATGAAAAAATATTATCTTCAGAGGAAGGTCTGGGGATAGCTAATTTGTTTTTTAAATCACGCAGAGCAAAAGCTCAGAAGAAAAAGATTGAGGCGTTAGACCATTTAAAAAAATATGGATATGAAAGTATCGAAGCTGTAAATGCAACAATTTTTAAATTCCAAACCGAATTAGAGAAAACTGCGAAAAAGGAAAAAATCTTAAGGAATTCTCAAAATCCTCTTCAATCAATAATAAAAGAAAACGAATCATCTGAAGAAATAAGTGTGTCATTGGATGAAACATGCAACACATCTCAATTAATAGTAAAAACCGTTCAAGATAAAACAAAATCTAACATTAAACGTGAAAAAAATAAACAGTTTTATAGATTGAATGATAGGTTCAGAATATCTACGGCGAATAATGCATTGATATACATAAGACATTGTGAACAAATAACTAATGATTGTATACGAGCATTGACAGCTAGGGTTTATAAAATCTTGAAAGATTATGTACAACAATATGGTAATTTTCTTGAACAGAGAATAAATCAAAATTTTAGGCATGGGATTTGTAATGATACCTCTTCTAAAGAAGATCATTCCCAGTATTCTCAAGATTTGGAAATAAGCTTAAATGCATTATCTTCTCTCAGTAAATTTCAGTATGTTTTTGAATGTATGGAAGTAAACGAGAAATTAGAGCGTTGGCAACAAGAATTTATTAATTATCATCGGATCCTGTGTGATAAAATGCAACATTACAGAACTTCTGGCGAAAGTAAAGAATTAAGAGATCATTTACTCATTGCACAGGCATTGATCTGTATAGATAAGTTCTGTGGAGAGGAATTTGAAAATAATGGATATGGGGTGTTATACAGACAGTATCGATTAGAGTTGATCAAGGGATGTAAAGAATCTTCTAGGATTGTTCTAGAATGTATAGGAAAGGGTGATTATGCAAATGCCGATATAGAGCTATATAATATCAGTGATAGCAAACTTCTAAATGATAAAGATTCGGCTCAAATGAAACACGATATACAACGTTCTTTAAATACGTTGATGAATGACACTGAAAGTATTGCAAACAGTCTAGATGGAAAAGTCCAGAAAGAAAAGGATAGAATGAATGAAATAAAGAAAATCAAAGAAAATGTGACGACAATTAGACTTGTTTTGAACAAACGCAATATTATAGAGTTACTTGATGATAAAACTAAAAGCCGTCTGAAAAATTTTGATAATGACATTAATAAAACTTTATCCGCAATTCTTTTAACCGGTCTAGATTCTATTGAATACTTTATAGACGCTGATAGTTTTTTTGAAGCTGAGCGAGGTATGGATGTTCTCAGTCGTGTAGAACGCGAGTTAACAGGCTATTGTTCATCGGAAGATGTGACTAAAAAAATTAAAGCACTGAGTGAAAGATTGGCTAATATAGATACTGAAATTTCAAAACAATACAATTTTACTGATGTTCATAATTACTCTATCAATCCACCTAAGTATATTTTAGCTAAGTTGAAGATGGCTGCCTCGCAGTGTGGTGCAAACTATAGTAAAGCTTATACAAGAATGTTTGAAACCATTAGACAAAATTTTACGTCAGCTATAGAAAATGCGCGTGATACTCCTTTGGGTGAACGAGCTGTAAAAATACATTCATTAAGTTATGCATTACAGTTTTTACCAGAAGAATTTCAAAATTCATTCAAATTAAATGTCGATGACTTGAGTAAGTGCATGGTCGATGAGGAGAAAATATACAGTCAACATTTGGAGACATGTTTCATAAATGCAGACGAACATGAAGATGTTATTAAAAACATAGGAGGCCTAGCTAAGCAATATAGCGAACAAAAACTGTATGAACTTTTTAGTAAATTGCGTGGACAGATTTTAAAGAAGCTGCATATGTATCGAATGGATGTTCAGAGTTGCTTAGATATACAGTCGACTGTTGATACGATCAGAAAAATTTGCAAATATAAAGAATTTGTGAGTGCTTATATTCCGGAAATAGAAGGAATTTGGAACAGTACTCAGGTTCTCACAACAAAACGTTTTTTAAATTCTTGTGAAACCTTAGAAAATATATCGTCGTTTGAACAAACAGATTTCGTCGAAAAAGCTTTTTATGAAATTCATGTTTATCTCGATTTTTCTGTTACATTTGATCCAACAGTCGAAGTATTATTTTCTGAAAATATTTTGAAAAATGCTACAGAAGGTTTTAAGAAAATGTTTCAATATTTAAGTGATAATTCTAAACAATTTCAAGTTGCTGTCAATGAAATAAATATTTTTAAATTACATACAGCTATGATAATATCGAAGAAATGGGATCGATTTTTACTGACAATTAATAAATCTAAATCAAAACATAATTTAGTACAAAAATTGTTGCAAGCAATAAAAAAGATCATTCTATATGCAGACATGATTTCTGAACTTGAAAATCTGATAAATCGTTTAAATATTCAATTAAATGTTGAACTTATTAATGATGATACAACAAAATTTGAAGTAAAACGTGATGAACTGTTTAGTAATATTAAGACGACGATGAGTACATTAAAAGCAATAAATTCTAAATTTAAAGATATTTTACCATCGACATCAGACGCAAATAAATTAGAAGAAAATCTTAAAACAAAGATTGAAAGAATCATTAGTGAACTTCTTGCTCGAGCATCAAAAAAAGAACTTTCTATTAAAGATGCAGATGATTTTCGTATGTATTATAATCATCTTTTATCATTCGACAAAAATGTAAATCTTTCAGGAATCAATATTCGAACAGTTTTAGACTTCGCAGAAAAAGAAATTTTAGATAAAGTAATTTCTTTACGTAAGCAAATAACATCTATTAGTGTATCTATTGAAGAAATTTCTCAAATATTAATTAAAATGAAATTTCTTGCTGAAAATCTATCGATGTTTGATAGTAAAATTAATGCAGAAATAGATGAAGCACTAAAAATCTACAAAGAAAACCAGGGTATGGTAGGTATCATGCAAGTGATTGTAGAATTACAAAAATTAGATCCAGATACTAGATTAATTAGTGAACATTCGTGTTTAACCGGAGAAGGTTGGCGAAGACGACGTGCGAAAATGCAAAAACAGGATGATATCGAATATGTCCTAAATGAATTAACTGGAGATGATATTTCTAAGGAAGTTTTGCGTTCACGTTATCAGATCTTTAGAAAAAAATTTGATGAATTGGTGTCTAATAGACTAAAATCATTTGATCCAAATGCTAATAAAGAGCCAGATATAGCCATGTTAGTTATGCAAATCAAACATATTGCTGGGACAGTCACTCATATATCTAAATCTGTTACTTGGGATTATGCGTTTACACAACAGATTCCTGAGCTTTTAGCGTATATTTTCGCCGTGTGGACTTTAAAAAATACTCAACATTATAATACATTGCGGGGTATCGAAGCAGCGCAAACTTATTTATTGATACCACATGTTGGACAGGTCGTTACTGTTTTTCGTCTTTTAGGAATTGGTTATGAGTCTCATAGAGTAATTGGCTCTTGTAGTTTGATTAACAATTTAGTACAGATAGGCACAGGTGAAGGTAAATCAGTTGTATTGGCAATAACTGCTTGTGTTTTTGCTCTAATTGGAGTAGATGTGAATTGCTCATGTTATAGCGAAGTTTTAAGTACGCGAGATAAGCAAGATTTTGCATCAGTTTTCCAAGCACTGGGAATAGAAGATCGCATTGAATACAGTACATTTAATAAATTATGTGAGCAATTTTTAAATGAACAGTGCAATATACGAGAAAAAGTGAGTAATATGATTGTAAATAATAATATTGCCCTTACTACAGTTGATACACGAATACGAATACGTCCAAAAGTATTATTAATTGATGAAGTAGATGTTTTTTTGAGTGATGAATTCTATGGTGGAATGTATACACCGACAGTGTATTTAAAAAATCCTTCAATAAAGACATTGTTGGATTCAATCTGGCACGCTAAGCCATTAAAAACATTAAATAGCGTGAAAGCTCTACCAGCATATAAAACTTGTGCTACTCAGTTTAGTAATTGGATTTCTCTCTTTGATGAAGCAATACAAGACATGTTAGGTGCTCTAAAATCGTTTGAGTGCTCAACATATGTTGTACAGGACGATAAGATTGCTTATGTCGAAGGTGAATCTATAGTAGACAATGTAGTACGTGGTTATGATACCGTTTGGGCATATTATTTTGAAAACGAAAAAGGTAAAATTAGTAAAATTAGTCTAGAAACGAATGTTGGTATTATTATAAACTGTGGAACATTCTCTTATGCTGAAATGCCTCATGATTTTGCTTATATCGCGGGGGTCACTGGTACCTTAAAAACACTAGCTAAGCCAGAGACGCGTATACTAAAAAATGTGTATAACATATGTAAAAATACTTATATGCCATCTGTATTTGGAAAAAGTAACCGTACTTATAATGATACCACTGATGTACAAGTGGTGGGGAAGTCGGAATATTTCAATAGAATTCTTATAGAAATTAACGTTATGTGTAAGGCTGATCGTGCAATTCTTATATTTTTCGAATCGGAAGAAAAATTAATGACATTTTTTAATTCTCCTGAATTATCTTCAATAAAAGAAAATGTACAAATAATAACGGAAACAGTATCTGTTAAAGAGAGAGAGTTACACATCAAACGTGCATCGACAATTGGTAAAGTTACATTATTCACACGAATATTTGGACGAGGAACTGACTTTATATGCAATAATCCAAGACTCTTAGCTAATGGAGGTATTCATGTGCTCCAAACATTTTTTTCGAAAGAATTATCGGAAGAATATCAAATAATGGGAAGAGCAGCACGACACGGAGATCAAGGTTCATACAGAATGATTTTGTTAGACAACGATTTAGAATGGGTCCTAGGTTCTACTTGGAAAGAGAAGCTTTCAAAAATTTCTGATGCTAAACTTTATGAAGCTATTAATAACAGTCGTACTATGCTCTATGAAAGTAAATGTGATGCAAAAAATCTTGGTATTGAACAACGTAAGCGTGACCACAAAGATTCTAAAGATTTTATGAACGCTTTATCCACAGGAGATATGGAATCTGTAAAAAAGTTTTTGACCAATCAAAATAGAGGAGTAAATATAGCTAAAGATCCTTCACGTACAGTTTTACTGATGGATGCGACAGGTTCTATGTCTAATTTGTTATCTGCTGCCAAAGAAACTGTTTGTACAATGTTTGAGCGTGCTTCAACTATTTTGATGGAGAAAGGATTGCCTAGTGATGCATTTCAAATGCAGTTTACAGTTTATAGAGATTATGATTGTAAGGAAGATGGAATTCTGCAAAGCTCTTCTTGGGAAACGAAGCCCCACAATTTGAGATCTTTCATGACAGGAATTTCAGCCAGGGGTGGTGGTGATTTTGAAGAAGCAATTGAAATCGGATTGTGGCATGCAGTTAAAGAAAGTGACACGCCAGAATCAATCTCTCAAGTAATTTTAGTAGGTGATGCACCAGCAAAAGATAGAGCGGCAATTGACAGAGATCGAGGAGCGAATGGCGGTGAATCATATTGGAATCGAACTAAATTTAAAAAGCCAACACATTTTACCCTCGAGCTACAAAATTTGAAAAATAAGAACATTCCTGTTCACGCATTTTATCTTGTCGATAGTGCACGGAATAATTTTCAAAGAATTGCGCTTGAGACTGGAGGACGTTGTGAGCAGCTAAATATCTGTTCTCCTGGTGGTGCTGAGTTGCTAACGAACGTTGTAACAGAAGAAGTTCTTAGAAAAGCAGCTGGCGACAAAGGAGATGCCGCAGTCGAACTCTATAGAGATAAATATGTGAGAAAAGGTTTTACATCTTAAAGACTTTCAACACTTTCCAAACATCTTCCCTCTTGATTTTTCTTTATTCGCTCGAGAATGTCTTATATTATGATAAGTTTGACTCTAGATAGAGTTAATCATACATTCGCTAACAGCTTCCGTGTTTTTTTATTCATGTGCTGTATCAAACTCTTTAATTTTTTTATACATGTATTTTGTATTTCATGTAGCCGATTTTTCAATTCTTACTTATATTTTTGTATGAAAATAATTTCTATTGCTTTTTCTATTATTTTTCAAAAATTCGAAAATATTCAAAGATATTGTGCTTGATTATTTTTATGTTCTTTCCCGATTTTATGCAAAGTAAATTCAAATTTGATTCACATTTTTTACTAACAATTATTACACCTACACTGAAGGGCATGTCGCACTAACCGTCTCACTGCCTATTGTAGCCTAACGCTTATGGTTTACTTTATAGAGGGATGTAAGGGTGGGGTGTGGGTTAGAGCTAGGGTGTGGGTGTGGGTGGGTGT